CTTGGAGGGCGGCAACACGAGCAAGGCTTTCCTCCTTTGACTTGTTGCAACGTTCCACCATTTCGTTGAGCGTCCCTAGCATGTCGTCCTTCATTTGCTGCATGACCTCTCACAATTCCCCTGCGAATCGCTCCATGCGAGCTTCGACAACCCCTGCTACCACCTCAGGGTGCTCGTCCCAACGGTCTTGGTGGTCGGCCACAGCAAGCTCTAGCTTGGCAAGCCATTTCTCGAATTCCACCATCGGCTCTCTAACGACCGACTTCTCCTTGTGGCTTCCTTTGCGGGTGGTCCTCCCCACCTTGCGGGAAACGTGATCCCCCTCAAGCTCCGACCCTTGAACAACCTCCAAAGGGTTGGACATAGCTTATGCACGAAAGAAAATCAACAAACGGAAGCGTAGACGATGTAGCACACCAAGTATCGAGCCGAGGCTCTAATACCAACTGTCACGGGCTTACTTTTTCAAAGTAACGGCCGTGCGGCACTAGCACAAAACAACTAACGATCAAGTGCTAGCTCAGCCTTAAGACCCCCAAAGCGTGCAAAGCTAGGCAAGGCTTTAAAGAACGGAGGCCAAGAAAAACTTAAGAAAGGTTGAAAGTGAAAGAACGATGAAGGCACAAGAGAGCTTAAGGAATGCTTGAGAATTCTACTCAAAGCTTGGATGGATTACAAATGAAGGGGGCATGGGATATTTATAGGCAAACCCCAAGTCCCAAAGAATTCTAGAGAATTCTATGTACATAATAAAATAATAGAATTCTAGAGAATTCCTACCATAAAATATTCTAAGTCCAAAATATCTACAAGTCTCTAGAATCTTCCACACGGTTCTAGCAAACTCGGGTAGCTTCCACACGGTTTCACCCGTTTCTAGAGAGTTCCGGGCCTCTCTAGAAAATTCCAGAGTCTTCAAGATTTGACCGGAGAATTCCACAAGGCTCTAGACCGTTCCGTCCCATGTCCGTCTACAAAAATAGCCTGTTTCGCAGCAAACCACCCGAATTCGTGGTGAAGAAAAACTGTCTGTGACAAATTGAACAACAACGTTTCCTTTGTTTGCTCTAATCCAAGTGGAATAATAAATTAACATTTCAGAAAAATACAAAACCTAAATAAATAATATGTATGTGTAATAGATAATGAACTTTTCTTTTTCTTTTTTTTTTTAGGTTTTCCTATATAATGAACTTGGCATATCTCAATTGCCATCGATCTTGATTACACCATGTGAAATCATGGAATAGTGACTTCTTGAAAAGATCACTAATCCCGAGCCTCAAAAACCTTATACAAAAAACCGCATTCAGAGTAAATATTCAATTGATAATCAAATTTTTGAAATCAGTATAAATAAAAAACTTATAATAAATTTAATTTCATTCACATTGTGTGGGAGAATAAGAATTAAATTTAAACATAATTAAATATCAGTATAAAATAAGATAATTTTTTGAAAAAGAAATTATAGAAATAAGTGTTTAATTTAATTTATCACTTATATCATTAATGCGTCCAGATTAAAAAACGAAATGGTAAGATACATATTTTTTGTTTGCCTAGAATCAGAATTGTTTTGTCATAGTTGAGAGAATTAATACTCCACACTTGTGGTAAATAGTTTTTCTTTTCGGTTTTCTCTTTGCATATGCATTTTAGAATTCAAGTATGACATGCGATTTTCATCAATGAATCTTCTAATCTTGATAAAGATTGATAATCTGCAGCAAAATAGAAAATAAATAATTATATGATTAATTATATTTTTTTATATATGATATAATGTTAGTAACATTATGACTATAAAACAAAACGTAGAATTAATACAGTTTTTTATGATGATAAGTTTGAAGACATATATTGGTTTTTTTAATTTAGGTAAAATAATTCACTGATCAATATTGATTTCTGCAGTTATGTGTTAAAATGCAACCATTAATTGGGTTTTTTTTTTCTTTTTTGTTTGTTAGTGTATTGGATTTTTTATTTCAATCGGTGGTATTTCGATTGTAAATATTTTTAATGGTATTATATTTTTTGCCCCTTAATGAGTAATGCTAATAAATGATTGCAGTTGATTATGTTGCGTAAGATTCACAAAAGAAAAAAAAAAGTAAAATAATAATAATATTAATGATATAATTATATATTAATCAGCCAAATTTTTAATAATATTATATTATATTATATTATATATAGTATAATAAATATAATATAATAAATGATAACTAAGAAATTAATATATCAATATAATGTATTCAGTGTGTTTATTTCATATGATATAATGGTTAAAAGAGTTAATATATGACGCTAAAAAAAATATAGAGATCTATAGGGAGAAAGTTTTTTAAAATGAGAAAAACTTTTGTGAGCGATAAACAGTTGAAGAAAAGTATAATGAAAAATTGAAAATACTTATATGGAGGAAAAATCATGTAGAGAACAAGAAAATATGAAAAAGAAAATCGAGATATAATAATGAAAATGAAATAATTATTACAAAATTTTTTAAGAAATGAAACTTTAAAGAAAAGTCATCAAATTTGGAAAAGAAAAAAAAAAGGTGAAGACTACGTAAACAAGAAAAGAGTGGAGTAAACTCTATATTATAAGAGAAATATATGAACAAACTTCTAACAAAAGGTTACAAAAATTATACAGAGTCGGATAAAAAATACAAATAAATTTAAAGAAATAATGAGAAATGTTAGAAGAAAAATTTTAAAAATATATTACGGGTATATATCTAAAGAGAACATTATGAACAATTAAGAGTATACTTTTAAAAGATATAACATCATAAATCAATAAAATGACAAATATAAACAACAAGTTACATGGGATGATTTCAAATATTAGGACTTACTCAATTTCAATTTATATTGTTAATATATATATTTTTTTTTACATATATCACTTTGTCGGATATGTTATATAATTTTTAATTCATTAAATTCATATATATGTTGAGCAACTCACACAACGTGCAGGGTAAACATTAGTTAAACTAAAAGAGAATAACTAAACTGGAGAGTAATTTTAGGGTATTAATTTTTTAAAGGAAATTTGGTTTAGTGGCAAATACTTAAAAAAAAATCCACAACAATTATTGAAAGTAAAGTACTAAACCCTACAACCGATCTATTACATTTGCTATTTTGATTTTCCTATTAGATTTCAAAATTTTAACCATGTTTAAAAGATAGGTCAACCTAAAAACTACTTTCTCCATCCCAAAAAATATTCTAAGGAGGTGCCTGGTTCAAACAGGGAATGATAGTTTGGAATAGGAATCATAGGTTTTGACTGGGATTCATAGAATAAAGGATTATAATTAGTAGCAAACTTAATTTCAGATTATTAGTTTTGATGTAAACATAAATTGGTATTAAGTCAAAATTCCATTATTATCCTCAGCCACATCACCAAATTGCTACCTTCACCAAATTGCTGTCCTCTCTTTCCCCGATAACCACCTACCCTGCTCCCTAGCCGCCTCTGATTCCCCCATGACCACCACCACCCGCCCCTCAATGGAGAAACTCTCCAATTTGAATCCCAAATTCAGGTTATATTCGAATCTATTAGTAGTCCAGTCCGAAAAAAAAAAGAATGGAACAAATTCAAAGAACAATCAACACAAAATGGCCAACCACCACCACTTTGGTCACCGTTGACAAATTCAACTATGAAGGCCGGCTAAGTAATTGCATGGAAGGAGATGAAATTGGAGAAGAGGGCGAATATATAGAACTCAGAGTCCGGCGACATGAGCTTCCATGAATTCTTTGGTCTCAAAGTTCTTTTATGGCTGAATATTGTTGGCATCAATCCGCGGTGATCTTCTGATGCGGACAATAATTTTCCGATTTTTGAATCTGCTGAGTATCAAGAATTGATGGTTGAGGGGAATGTCGTAGTATTGATGGTTGAGGTGACGATTTTTCAGAAGAAGGAAAGAGAAGGGGATGATGATTCTGCAAAAGCTGAAGAAATGAGAAGGAAGTGTAGAAGAGGGGATTATTTTTGGTTCAAGTACAGGGAGTCATACCCCTCAAGTTAATTAGGAATGAAAAGGGATTTCATTATTGAGTTTGAAAGCCATTTTGGTGGGGCCATGTTTCTAACCAAGCAGCAATATTAGGAACGAAAGGCATAGAAATAAATTGATACCCTCAAACCAAGCGCCTCCTAAGTTATTATAAAAAGAACTAGGTTCTGGACCCGTGCAAAAGCACGGATATTTTAAAGGACTAACGTTTTTTATTTGTTCTAAGTAATTCTGATTTATAATTTTAACTCACCAATCTCAACCAAGTTACAACACATAAATAATTCTAAATGTTGAATCATAATTTTGTGTCACTAATACTGACAAAAAATTTTAAAAGTGTAACAATAAAAAGATCTTTCTGTGATATTTTCAAAGGGTGCCATGTATCATTCTTTCTCCTTTATTTTGATCATTTTCTCTTCATTGCATCACTTGTAGTGGCTGCACAGTCAAAAAAATTGAAATCGCAAATTCTTTAAATTCTATACAATACTCTATTTTGTTACTAATATTTGGATGAAAGAAATTGGTAGAGAATTTTAGAAATTTTGGCTAGAAAAATTTTATTTGAGAATAGAAAATTGTGATTTATTTAACTATTGGAGTAATGATTTGGGGGTTAAATAAGGAGTTTTTTTATTATCTTTTTTTTTTATGGATAAGTGTAACTACCACCTTTTTTTTGTGGGATAAATTAAACTGGACCAAATTTTTTGAATTTGGTTGGGGAGACTTTTTGGGAAATTTTGACACTCGAATTTTTGAAAAAAATGGTTTTTGCTATCATGGGGAATATAGATAGATTATAGATATAAAGTACCATTGGTTAAATAAATTCCTCCGTTTACGATTCAAACTTCTGTGATTATACATTACAATACGCAGGGGAACCTTTTGTAATCTAAGCGTATTCATTTCATTAATAATATATTGAAAAACGATACCGCATAAACCATAAGAAAACAATCACTGAGGAGTTAGGACCTCACTTTTGACTGATGTGAAATGTATCTCCAAAATTTTCTAACTGAGACAATTGGGAGCTGACAGAATTGAGTTCATCAATCAAAGAATTATGGTACAAAAATGGAGGATGATGTTCCTTGTTCCTATTCAGTGTATCTTCTCTTTTTTTTCAGTAATAATTTTACAGCATAATCTATGCAGTATACCTGATCTTGGAGGATCCTCTGCATCTCTGTGCCATAATGTAGCAGAGCTCTCCACATCAAAAAAAAAAAAAATGGCCTGTTTGTCTAGAAGATAAGATCAAAAGAAGCCATTATATGTACACCTGAGAAAACAAAAATAAACCGGGGGAGGGACCGAAGAGGCTTGGTAACTTGACGACAAGCTAGGTGAATTTGCCATCTCAGCAATAGGTGAAAGTGCTTCAATGATGTGAAATGTGAATGAACATGCAGTCTTCATGAATACTTGAAGCAGTGGAAACTGGAAAGAAGATATTTATCTTTTGCTGATCCGCGCTACTCTGCAAAGCAGGGTGTGGTTGACTTGGCACGAATTTTTGCAAGTGCGGCTAAGAAGCAAGACTTTGATTCCTGGAAGTGACTTTAGTTCTAACTGAATCAAATGCTTTATTTTTTCGCTGAAGAATTAGCTGCTTGTTCCTTTAATGCTTCCTTCTCCAATTTCTTCTTCTCAGCTTCTGCTTGCTGTTGATTCTCATCACGGGCCTTGTTAAACATCTTTGTAAACACTGCCAGAATTTGTGTAACTGCACATGGAAAGAACAAAAGGAATAAACTTTATACGTCCACTTTTATCCATTGGAATAAACAAATTTATTGAGGATCATTCTGCATGAATTCCGCAGAAGCTTTTTGTTTGCAGCTGCACCTTTTCTAAAGACCGGTCACTCATATTGATGAAATTTAACAATAACCTATCTTTATTCCACTGAGTCAACTACATAAAGCTTTTTTTTTTTTTTTTGAAAATGAACTACATAAAGCTGAAAATTAGAATCACAGAACAACGTTTTAGAAACAAAGAGAGAGAAAATGAAGTACATCAGACCTTGTTCAAAGGGACATCGAGCTGGATCCTCTCCGAAATATTGAGACAAAGAATCTGCATTTCTTCCCTGCAAAAATAATTCTATTAGAACAAATCAGGCTTAAGCTACAGTCAATAAGGTATTGCACTTAATTGTACGAATGACAAACGCTGACCACTTCTGAGTACAATGTGATGAGCGACCTAACTTCGGCCTCAGCAGTATGAAGGAAACTCTTCAAGACCTGAACAAAGCAACAAAAAGGTTCGAACATGGATTGGTCACTATAACAGCTGTCAAAACATCTTTCATATCCAATAAAGATGAACAGTTGCACCAGCAAGTTCACATTAAAATTGCAAAATCATGACAAACATTATTGCATATTCAATAGAGATTTCTTTGAATAAGTGATCTCCAAACAGAGTTGGAAAGAAATGCATAATTAGATCATCTCTCCAGCTGCTAAACTAACGATCTAATCATATAGATAACAACTGCCCTCTTACCTTCTGAAAGCCAGAGGATATTTCACCATCATTCTGTGAAGCAGTTAGTTCTTGTTCAACTTTTTCAAGACCTTTGCTCACTGCTTGCATTTCTTCAGCCACAGACTTCAGTTGGATCTAGATATTTTAATTTTCGCAGATGGTTAGAACAACAAATGCATTTTCCTTTGTCTTTATACCGAAAGCAAATTAACTACTAACTTTCACAGTAATATACTACCAAAATACCTTAGAGGCGGCATCCAAATGAACAAGGTCCTTATCAAAATCCAACAGTTCTGGCATTTTCTCCGCAAGGAGCTGATGAAACAAAAAAGCTGTCAGATGACTCGACAAAACCCAGAATATATGAGTACGTCACTGTCAGATGCCTTTTTTTTTGGATTTCTTAAAAAAAGATGTACTAATTCTTCAGAAAAACTATAGAATAAAAGTTTTAGCTGTCAAACAGAAATCGCATTCAGATTCTTCACCAACAATAAGAGAAAATTCTTGATTTAAACTGCAATATCCAGAAATTATTAGGCAGATGAGTCCTTTCACTATCATTTTGATTCATAATTTTTAGGTGAATTATGAGTGTAGAAACAGGATTCAAGCAGATAAGCGTTGCGCCCATTTTGGGCATTTCCGAAAGTTTTGCTTATGATTCTTTTTCCATCCTCCCATGTTGTCTTCTTTCAGAATTGCATATGCTGAAGAATCAATATAAGCTAATGAATCTGGAAGTTCAATATTTGCAACCAGAAGCAAAGATTTCATAAATATCAAAAATAAAAACTTTCTGAGAACTTTCATGTTCTTAAATGAGAGAAAAGTTTTCCTCCTAAGTCAAAAGAGGATAACTCAATAACAATAGTACAAAAATGGTTTGAAGTCATTATATTCTCAAATGCAAATGCTAACAAGTAAAAGAAGTGCCCAACAGAAAATGAAGAGGAGAAGAACACAGATAGCTTAATTTATATGCACCTAACAACAAACAGCTGAAATGACACTGGGGACTCAAACCCATAAATGACCACCAGAAACCGAGGAAATTAATTGACGAAGCATCTTTTATATAGATGGAATGAGGAATCCAAAGAAAGTAACAGATTTCACCTTGCAGAGATAATGCATCAGAGTCATTTTGTTGTTGATCGCACGAGTATCAGACAACTTCAGAAGACTATCCAATTTAAATCCAACAGCAGATCCTGGAAAAGCAATACAAATCTAATTATGTACTAACTTACACCAGTAGTGCAAACAAAAACAAAAAAGAAATTCAAAAAAAAATAATAAATTAAAAAAAAAAATCAAACGGAAAGTACCTCTTGCAGTCCCTTGATTCAGTGCATTTCCCAAAGTGAGAATAGTTTGCATTATTTGACGTAATTTGACAGATTCTTTCACCTAATATAAGAAGATGATGGTCATGTTTTTGTGTAACATGAGTACCAATTTCACATTTGTTGAACCAAAATACCTCTTTACTCGCATCATTGATTGTATTCAAATCAGATCTTAAGTCCTTCACCTAATAAAGTTTGAAATTTGCAGTAACTGTAGTTAAAAATATGGAATCTTATCTTAACAAGTGTCAACAGCATCAAAGATGTGATATCAGGTACCTGACTAGCAAAAGTAATGGTGAATGCAAACACCCTTAACTTTGATTCCACTCGTGGGACCTTCATGAGCTCCAAGAAAAACTGAAACTCATTCATCAAACTTTTGTTACTACGTGAAATATTGACACAGTTCTTCGTGTTTATTTCATGGAAGGGGTATGGAAACAGTAACTAAGAGTAAAACCTGTTCACACTTGCCAAGCTGTTCCTTGTCACCATTATAGTTCTGAAAAAGAATATAAAGACATTTCAGGAGCTTAAAAAATTTATGATGATTGGGGGTGGGCGGGCGGTGTTTGGGGGTGTTAATACAAAAATAACAGGACACCTATACCCTAACAAGAGGAACAAGAAACTGGTTGAGCACATCAAAATACAAAAGCATTCCTACCAATGTAAACATTAATTATGCAAAGAGGCCATTATAACAAAATCGTTCCACTTTATCACAATCAGAAGTGCAAGTTACCAGAGAACCATATAAGGTAGGCATAGCATGACAAGATTCTACAGTTAGAAGTTCCAGCCTCATTTGGTCATGTGTATTTTAGATCGGCGAGTCAAAGACGAAAGCATCGCATACATAGTTACAATTAATATCCGTCCAATAAAGGCTACTATACACTTAATCGGAACAACTAATTGTAAGGAAATTTGCAACAACACCAAAAATTATAGGTATTTCTCTAAAACTAGAAATCAATCCACCAAAAGATACTCTCTGAGGAGGTAAACCTTGGCATAACTGTAAGAGTAGAAGCCATGTGATCTGAGGTCTAAAGTTCCTGACAAAGAGTCAGTCTCTAATTTAACTTAGCAATGGGTGTTGAACAAGGCCATTACTTACAGTAATTTCCAGCTATCCTTTATTGTTCTGTTTTTAATCATTACTTTTTGGTCCTTTTTTCTAGGTAAACCTGAATGTTTAAACATTCAGATATCAATTACAGAGAGCAGCGTACATGTCCCCGTCAAAGGTCACAGTTACACTAACCAACAATAGTTCAATATAGGTTTAGATCAGACATTAAGATTGAAAAAGAGAAATTAACCACACTAAAAATATTCAAAAAGACGCAATTGTTGTAGCTGTTCAGTAAGTTCTATAACATTAGTGATTTATATATGAAACCAGAATTCACATATCTAAAAGCACGGAAATAATGGTGAAAGGGCTGAAGGACGTACCTTTAGAGTTTCCATCTCTTCTTTTGTTGGACAGAATTTTATCAGATTCTCTACTTGATCAATGTCCAAGGCTGAGGAGTCCAAAGCAAGGATGGCATTCTGAAAGTCAGGCATGAAATTTAGATTTAGAAAATAAATGTTTATCCAGTTTAACTACATTGAACTTCATCAATTTAACTTAAAACATTTGGCTGAGGCAAGTGCCACTAGAAATCCTGAGACTTCCATGAGGACATGATCTACTATAATCGCAAGAGCAGAGATTCGCAATGGATAGCACACTCTCAAACCCTATACTTTTGGTGGTATACAAACTTTTCAGTGGTTAGTTTTTACTCCCTTTGTTAACAAATGGCCAGCAAAATTTGCAACTTCTCCACTACATTTTACATCACAGTCTAATTATAGAAGTTCTGATACATCGACAACAACAATAAAAAATTAAGCCTTTTTCTGAAATAGAAATGAAAATGCAATATCCAAGTTCTGCGAAAATGAAAGTAGAAGCACTCTAGCAGGGTATCGCTTATATTCACTAGTCATAAATAAATATTTATCCAGTTTCATGATCAGTCACAAAGTAAAGATGATAAAGAAACACATATCAGTAACAAAAGAAACCAAATAAATAAATAAATACATACCAAATTAATAAAAATTCAAAAATTCAAAAAAAAATGACAGACTACCGTGCATGGCAAATTTGAGCATAACATTAATCAAAATGGAATCCAAAAGACTGTAAGCATCTTTAATAGTCTTCTAAGTAACTGATAAAAGATCTGAAGAACAAGAGAACTTACGATCATCTCAGGCAATGGAATCTTTACTTTTGTAAGCATAATTTCACAATTGTAAGCTCTGCGCAAATCAACCTGAGAAAGGAATTTAGAAAAGAAGCAGATTAAGCATACATTCACAATTTCCGGGGAGGAGACAACAAACATCTCAGTACTACAGTGGGAATGCAATGAACAGATAAGCACAAGCACTCCTTTATTGAAAACGACTCATATGTTGAAATTTGGAGATAACCAAATAATCTTTCTACTTTAATGCCTGCTTCGAGAAACTTCCTATTGTACAATTCCAAGAAAGGTGAATATATTTTTTTTATTGAACTAGATTTAACAGACTCACCAAGATATAGCTGAAAGATTTACAAAAACAGAAAAGATTTAGAAGCAGTTCTCTACTCTTTGGAAAACTAATCTCTGTTCATATAACAAGCTGAAATTCTGTGATGCTATAAAGAAAAGTAATCATAAATGAATTTCACTTGCCAATTGCACTTTCTCTGGTTTGTTGATTTTAGAGCCACGTCGACCTCCACCCTTAGTGTTACCATCCGAAGCAGAAGCCACAGAGAACAGACTTTCAAGTTCTGTTATATCAATTTCAGGCGCCCTACATTATAAAACATTTATAATAAAAAATTATACATAAAAATTTAACACTAATGAGAATCTACCATCCTACAATATCTACATTAAAAACAAACAGAAAAAAGAATCAAAAGGGGAACAAAAAAGAAAAAGCAAAAGAATTCAAAATTAATGCTTTCAAGGTCAACGAAGCTTCTTATCAACAAACCTCGACTGATTTTCCTGCTTTTGAGAATCAGCCCATAAACTCCCTTGCATTGCCCGTGTTACTTTGACCCAGTGTAAAGGCTTCAGTGAAGCTTTCTTGGGGGGAATCGAGGAACCAGTAGAAACCCGACCTCTTCCAGGACCAGATGCTCCTAAAACAGCTCTTCCTCTTCCAGAAGACGGAGGTGGAGGCGGAGGTGCAGTGGAGCTTTTTCCACCAGGCGGAGGAGGTGGAGCTGGTGCATTTCCACGGCCCAAAGGTGGTGGGGGAGCACCAGGAGGCTTTGGAGGTTGTGGAGGAGCTGAAGGCACTGGAGGATTCCTAGTACCACCTGATGGAGGTGGAGGAGGTGGTGCTGGAGGCTTGTTTGCAAGACGAATGGCCGGCGTACCAAGTGGTGGGGGTGGTGGTGGAGGTGGAGGCGCAGGTGAAGCTGATTGACTTGCTGCAGAAGAAGCAGAAAGCGGTGGCGATGGAGGTGGCGGTGGTGGCGGCGGTGGTGGTGATGGGACTGGAGGCTTATTTGCATGTCCAAGGGACTGCTTAGCCAGTGGTGGAGGTGGAGGAGGTGGAGGAGGTGGAGGAGGTGCAGGTGGTACAGGTGCATGTGATGCCAATCGACTTGCTGTAGAAGAAACAGAAAGAGGTGGTGGTGGTGGTGGTGGTGGTGGTGGTGGTGGTGATGGAGAAGATGAAACTGTTTTGGAAGAGGTTGGCAGAGGGGGAGGTGGAGGGGGAGGGGGTGGAGGTGCAGCAGGAGTCTTATTTGGAAAAGGAGGGGATTCTGGATGTGGTGGCAATGAAGGCCCTGTGTTAAAACTACTAAGACGCGGTGGTGGGGGTGGCGGGGGTGGTGGTGGCGGTGCATTACTGGAACTGATACAAGGAGGTGGAAGTGGAGTCAGTGGAGTTCCACTATTTGTACTCATAGGTGGGGGTGGGGGTGGGGGTGGGGGTGGTGGAGTCAGAGGACCCCTAATTGAGCTACTAGGAGGAAGTGGTGGGGGTGGGGGTGGGGGTGGTGGAGTCGGAGGACCCCTAATTGAGCTACTAGGAGGAAGTGGTGGGGGTGGGGGTGGGGGTGGGGGTGGGGGTGAAGTCAGTGTCCCTTTGATGAAAGTCATAGAGAGTGAAGCTTGAGAAGAAGTTACTTTACCAGAATTAAAAGGAGGTGGAGGCGGAGGTGGAGGGGGAGGCAGAGGAACAGACAGCTTAGGCACTTTTGCATCAGTTAAAGAATCAAAATGAGGCAATGGAGATAAAGATGGCGGTGAGACCGGTGACAGATGATCTTCACTATTTGAAACAGAGGAAGGAGACAATGTGTGAAGCAATTCTGGAGGTTGATTAGCCAAGCTTTCCCTCACTGGCGCAAGTATTTCATTTGAAACCTCAGAATCTACTTCAGCATCAATCATATTATCACATTGAGAAGGAGAATGAGCTGAACCAACTGTTCCTGAGATGGATGACAAAGCTGGATTTTCACAGCCATCATCTGAAGCATAATTTTGTGACAAAGAATCATCCAAGAAATTCATCTCTGTCTTACTACTGTATACTTGATCACTAGCCTTCTCAGTGTCCAGAAAGTCCAGACTATCAGCAATGCTGGATGCATTATTTTCTTCTTCAGAGTCAAATGGAGATGAATATCCACTTCTTCTGCTTCGCAATAAAGAGAGATCTTTCACGTCATTCAGTACAGATAACTGCTTCAGCAACCATAAAGCAGCATCATCACCATTATCTACCCAATCCACACCACTGAAGAGTTCTTGAACTCTGGAAAAAGCTTCAATAGGCAGCCCACCGGCCTCTTCACCATCTAAAACAGTAGTTGGAGCTTTTGAATGAGAGATGCTGTCAACATCACCAAATAGCACCTACATTTGACAAGATAAATGTTGACACGACGTGCAGGCAGAATTAGTAATTCAGTAACGACCTGACAAATTGATACTCTTTGAACAACGTACCTCTGCTCGAAAACCTTTTGGATACCAAGACTTTGAATCCCAAAGAATATCCAAGTTATCACAATTGAGCATTAAGATGTTTGATCGTATAAAAGCTGTATTGAACATTATTCGGAACATCATAACTTCTCTCTGGGGCTCCAAATCTAAATGAATGCATTCCAATACTACATCTCCTTGCACCAAGCACTGAATGTCAAGCTTAATGACATCACTGTCTTTCTACAAAAATCCAAAAACATTTTGTATACTTTTACGTTGATAATCTGGGAAACTAAATTCAACAAATTGAAAGTATGCAATCGAATTTGAATACTGTACCTGACAATAATGTCGAAGGCTCTTCTTTTTCTTGTTAGTGGAATAAATCATTTGGGTCGAAAGACCATCCTTACTCAAAAGATTTCTGCCAAAAATACGAATGATTGGGCGGCAGCCTTTCTGATTATCAAACTTTGGGATGGACCGGAGAATTAGACAATCCAAAGAAAGTGCTCTTTCAGGTGGCGGCCATTCTGGTGAAATATTTTGTCTTGATAGATATTGCAGATAACGAAGCTGTGATGGAAAAGGGTTTAAAGGTGACAACAATTGTAACAAACCTTTCGGAGCCTCTCGATAAACCATTTCAAGGGACTTCCTCTCACCACTATGCAATTTTCTGAAAACTAAAAAGCTAGCTAAAATAAATGCCAGAAGTGGCCAACCTCCTCTCTCACAATGAAGCAAGATAACATTCTGCTTGTTCCCAGTCAAAAGCCAGTGATCACAAACCCGTAGAAAATGATGAATGATAGACAATGGTAAAAGGGGACAACCCTCATACTGCCTCGGATAATCCATAACAGTAACATCATATTCGCACAAAATTTCTGCAAATTGGCTCTTTTTTTCCCCTTCTCGGAAGTTGAAGGCCAGAAATGAAGATTCGGGAAATGCCTCATGTAGTTCTGTCACAATTTCATGCAAGTACAGATGGTACATACCCTCAGGCAACACTTCCGTAGAAAAACATGAATCAAAAACTGCAAAGACCAAATTCCATAAGGAAAAAATCATTAGTGATTGATCTCATGGAAAGAAAACAAAAAAATAAAACTAAAGCCATATCATCAAGGAAAAATGAATCTTCAAACTTCAGTTACCATATACTCTATCAACAAATTCAAGCAAGCCATCAGGGGGCCTTCTGTGGAAAAACCTACTCAGCAGAGACATAGCTGCAAATCAAACGGAACCACCTTTATACTCCCAAATGAATTCAAAATCCGAACACCTATCAATAAAAAAAATAAATAAATAAGAACTTTCAGTTTCCAGCCACAGAAAGACAACTCTAATTAGAACCATAGTATGTTTAATCCCTTCACGCGCTAAACGATACCAAGAAAATCAATGAGAAACAAAAAACAAAGAAACTACATTGATTCCACATAACCTCAAAAAATTTCACTACAAAGGAATAGGCATTTTATCTCGACTAGATTTATCTGTAGCACCCGTAAACTGCAAATTAGAGAAATTACGCTTACAACCCACAAAATGAAACAGCTAGTAGAACCTAATTGAACAATCAATTGGAAGTTTCATACGACAGATACGCAATTTCTAAATGTTCACACCATCTATTATATCGAACGAGCTTGCGGAACTAGCAAAGGTGGATTTACTGACAACCAATACAAAACCCAAGAATAATTAAAGTTTTGTGATTAAGCAAATGCTTCCAGAATTAAAATGAGACAGTAAACAGAGCAAACTTGAGATGCCCGGATTAACAAAAACAACAACAATTTGAAAAAAAAAAAAAAAAAAGCATAAATTGCAGAAAAAAAAACATACCAGTGAAGAAGGTTAATTGTGAAACTTGAGTGAGATAGATGAAGGGCGTGAGCTAAAATAAGCCCAAAACTAACAGTCACATAACAGAAGAATCAATAGATTATTCTGACATCAACCTGCTGTGGCGGTGTGAGTGAAATTCGAATTTCTTGAGGTTTTTTTTGTTTTTTGGTTTTTTTTTTTTTGTAGAGAGATAATTCTTTATTCATTACAGTCATTTGGTTTTTGAAATTTCAAACGGGGAGAATGGAGGAAGAGAACTTTCCTTTTTGAGTCTATTTTAGGGTTAATATCAAATAAACCTCGAGGTTTGACAGAATAGCTAAAACAGTGGCTTTTCAATTTTTATTTATTTTTTGTTTCATTTTATTTCTTTTTTTTTCTACTTATCATAACCAATAAAAATATGTCCTCTCCATTCCAAAATTATTGTCCAGTTGAGTTTTTATTTTTAGTTTAAACTGTATTTAAAATAAAAATTCAAACTGGACAATAATTTTGGGACAGAGAGAGTACTATATGGTCTTCAAAGAAATATTTATGTATTTCAAACTTTATTTAATAAATTAATCTTTGCATATTTATACAAATTAAACTTTGTACGAATTAATTAATTTGTTTCCTGGGAACTAACCCAAGTTCAATTCCCACCTAAGGTTTGTAACGAGGGTTTGCTATGGAAAAATAAATGATCATTCCATTAGTTTGTACAAATATACAAAGATTAATTTGTACAATATAGATTGAAACTAAATAAATTTTTCTTTAAAGATCATATATTGTATTTTTATGGTTATGATAACTAGTAAAAAGGAATATCATGAAATGTAAAAGAAAAGTAAAAAGTGAAAAAGAATTATTTTATTACTTTATATATTTTAAGGTTACTTTTATAATTTTTTAAAATTATTGGAGTGTTTTGTGATTAAATATTTTATTTTATTGAAACACTAACAAAAATTCGCTAAGTTGGTCAAAAATTGGACTAATTGGACGATAATGGAAAAAACTTAAAATGTATGAAACAAAATTTATTAACTGAAAATATATATGGTAGAATTGACAATAAGGACAAATCTTAGAGTATGATCGCCAATTTTTCCCTCTAGAGTATGCATGTTTAATATTCTTACTGTTCGTTTGCTTTATTTTTTCTTCGGGCTTTCGAAATTTTTTTATTAATATGTTTTCAATCACAACATCCTTTTTTACTTTTATTATTATATTTACTTTTTTTTACTTTTATGATTACATTTTTTTAATATTCTTAATAAAAAAATACTTAAAAACACATAATAAAAAAATAATTCAAACATACCTACGTAATCATATCTTGATAACATATGTACGTATCCGGGCGTCCTCAATAATATTTAATATTCTTAGTTATGCAACCCTATTTCCATAAAATGTTTATGCATTGTGGTATCTTTATTCCTTGGCATTGACAACAGTTAATTATAAAAATGATGGCAAAAATAATCTTTGGAAGTCTAAATTTGAGTTAAATTTAAAATTTAATGATAAACGTTTTATAAATTAGGTAAACGTTATTTGTTTTTTATTTTTAAAATTCATCAATTGGGCTCACTTAATGTGAGGAAATAATCTTTACACACTTCTAATGAGATTAGATCTTTGGATCAATTCGTTAACACAACCCTAGAATGTGTTACTATTAGTTGCAAAATTGTGAAATTCTAAAACCTTATTTTTCTAAAACAAAACCTTATATCTTTGGGTGAACTATGTTCTACCCCCCAAATTTTGGATCATTAACTAAATGATCCCTGAGTTTTGATAATGTTACTATTTGCCCCCTTGATTAATTACAAATAGAGTAAAAGACAAGTCAGGTCATTGAATTATTGGGTAATTTTATCGCAGATCATCAATCAAATTTATTCCCAAAAGCGATCACCCTACTAAGTCAAAATCCATCCGAAGCAACAAATTTACTAACTCCCATTGTTGATTCTAGAATACTACTAAACCATTAAAATCCTAAGCCCTTATGATAGCCTCGTGCCAAACAACTAACTCCACTGTTGTTTGAAACTTTGGACAGTTACCCCCTCGTCACCGGCTAATACTAAACATTACAAGTGAAATTTACTCGTTAGGGATTCCTCCCACATGCATGAACAATTGTCTAGTTGATCATTCTAATAAAAAAAACATAATTAAAACTCTAGTACTAGGTACACAAATATCATCCAAGCACAACCATGTATAATAACTAGAGAGATTCAAGGGACTAAAACCCCATAAAAAGTTTCGTTATACATGTTCTTGATTGCAACTGATATAACATTGATCAGCATAGCCAAAGACATGATTACAAACAAGAAAAGATACAAAAGAAGAAAAGCAGGGGATGGAAGCGAATCTGCTATTGCTGTTGAAGGCTGGCTACTTGGGCAAGTGACTTTGTCACTTTCCCGAGTAACCACCCGTAGCTGCTGCCTACTGCTTCTGTTCTTCTTTCTCTACCAGTGGCGGAGCCAGCATTTTAGATTAGGGGGTGCGAAATAATTCAAGAGACCAAGTGCACTAATTTATTAAAAGCTACTAATGTAATTTTATTTTCTCATTCAATAGACTACAACGAAATGTTGAGAACCATTTCATTAATATTTTACACATTTTTTCCACTAGAAATCATAATGTTGTGTGGTTTAAATTTATATTTTAAGATTTTTTTTTTTGGTGGAAAATTTTAGAACAAAACCTTCTAAATTGGACAAGTTGTTTATGTAAGAAAGAAAAGAACATACTTCTTGCGATTACATCAAAACCAATACAAGAAAAAAAAAATAGTATAATTAACTTGAATTTGACATCAAGATTTGTTTTTCCTATAAGAAGATTCGAGCATTTTATAATTTTGGTTTTCCTTTTAACTGTTTAGTATACTAAAATTCTCTAGGCTTTTCTTTTTGTTTTAATTTGAGTCCTGATTCTGATCTTAAATGCATATTATTAAAATTTATTTGGACCTTGACTTACTATTTCTTATTATTAAACAGGCATTTACATGTCATTTAGAAAATATGAAATTAATACTATTATTTTCTTTTGTAAAAACTTTGCTATTTCATTTATTTTTCACTTAAAATTTGCATATATTGAGTGTAAATAAACATTGTTTCTAATGTTTTTGTGTAAATTAACTCAAAGGTTTTCAATTATTATCTTAACATTTTTAGAGGGGGTACAAAAATAACAAATTTATATATTTTTCAATAATTTTAATATACCTATTTTTAAAAAATAAAAACAGAGGGGGTTTCGCCGCGACGGGTGGCCACCCCCTGGCTCCGCCAATGCTCTCTACTGTGTCTCTCTCTCTCTCTCTCTCTCTCTCTCTCTCTCTCTCTCTCTCTCTCTCTCTCTCTCTCTCTCTCTCTCTCTCTCTCTCTCTCTCTCTCTCTCTCTCTCTCTCTCTCTCTCTCTCTCTCTCTCTCTCTCTCTCTCTCTCTCTCTCTCTCTCTCTCTCTCTCTCTCTCTCTCTCTCTCTCTCTCAGTCTGATCTCCTTAATCCTGATCCCCTTTGCTACTATTGCTCTTCTTCCTTCCTCACCTTCTCCATTGTCTCTGATTCTAATTTTGCAGCCTTCTACCTCTCCTTTTGCAGCCCACATCAGCATCATCACTTCACCTATGCCTTCTTTGTCTTTCTTAAGTTTGACGACTTTCTTTTCCTTCTTCCTTAACTTTGAAGGAAAGCTTGATTTGAAGCTTCTCCTGCCGGCTCCTTTGTCTTCTCAGATTTGCATCACAAGTCCAATTGAGCCATTTTCAATTGTTGTCCAAAAGTCTCTCAATTTGTACTAATTTACCCACTTTTTATCCATAGTTACAATTAGGTACCTAGGGCACCAAAAATCATAAAACCTAATTAGAAACACCTAATTCCTAACTAAACATCAATTACAAGTAAAAAAGAGGCAAATTAAGCATACTTTTAGATGTATGATTTGACTCGCATCAGAGGGATCTTCCAAAACTTCTTACGCAATGTTTTCTCCCTCTGTGGATGCGTCTCATGGGCGCTCCACCTAGAGGAGGAAGGCCTACCTCTTTCCTATTCATTCATGGCTTCATAATAAGCTGTGTTCACTAAGTGTAGCCCATTATTAGTCTTGTTCTAATATAGCACATTCATACAGTCCAAACTTACACTCCCAATGCGAGTTGCCATTATTATCCTCACAACTTTTTCTGAGAATATCTTTCTTATGATATCAACCTCCACCTATCCACTCCATTCATTAAATATGCAACTTATATATTTAAGACATCCGTTGAACATCCCCCTCTAGCAATGGCGTACAATGGGCTTTTGTATGCTAGGGGTTTATTACTTTGAGATA